TCCCACCTTGCTGGCCTTCAAAAAGGATGGGGTGCAAGGCTTTGGGCTAGTTGTCTTAGAATTCTCCAACCAATTGGAACAACACAATGATCTTCGATCGGCTCGGAGGCTTCCTACAAATTCTATCAAGGTCTTTAGTTTGGACTTGCTGGGTACGCAGATCCTTTTCGCGCAGATGAAAGGTATGCTCGTGCTCATGGCACTGATCACAAGAGACCTCCCTAGGCCCAGGTGATTCCGTTCCCTAGGCCCTAGGCGACTTGTTCACTTGACTTCCTGCTACTTCTAGTCACTCACAAACCCAGAAATAAGTCCGTTCAGCGTTTCTAACAGTCCCCGCTGAGCCCTTCAAAAAGGAGGTGAGCATCCAAACGAGGAAGGGTATGGAATCTATGGAAGGGTGAAATCCGACACCCCGCATAGAAACGACATACATCAACACAAGCTGGTCATTTGTTGAAAGTACACCCATGGAGTACATACGCCTCTGGGTTTAGTTATTCACAAGGGTTTCAATGAATAGAAGTGCAATGCTCGCCCGACCGGCCGACACAGAGTCCCACGGGCTTTTGAAGGCACACCCTGGTTTCGTTGGAAGCACCGTGGATTCAAAAAAAGTCTGGATTAAATACGATCGTGTGGTATGTTGAACCAATTAAGCCGGCTTTCTCCTTCAGAACTCGGGCAGATGTTGCCACCAAGCTGGCCCCAACAGCACTGTGCATCTTCGAGGAGGCTCCTGAAGCTCTTGAGGCTCCTGGCAGAGGAAACTCTAGGTGAGATGAGGTAACGAAACGGGATCCGAAGGTACACCAAGTGGTCCTGGTCCTGGAAGCCTGCTGTCCTTGGATTTGTTCCAGGTTGACTGGGGATGACTTATATAATATAAATATATATATATACATATAATTAACCTGACTCAAGGATGGAATCTGACATGTCGCTGAGAAGAAACCTCCCCCCCAAACCCTTCATAGACGAAGACGATCTTGCTACAGTAGAGTAAGTCCTATAACCTGAGCCCTTGGAGAAACAATGCCATGTTCCCATCACTGCTTTATCTTCTTCGCTTAAAGGAGGATCCTTTGGTCAACTTCCCCAATCCGCAACCGAGACTTAAGGGGTTTAGATGGGATGCGTCAAGCAGTGCTTTGCCCACCACGTGCGACGACGTTGTGTTGATCTTCCGCGAACAAGTCTGTCCAAGCAGGAAAAGGGCCCAAACCCTTGGAACCCGAAACTACAGGGTTCTCATCTGCTATTTAATCTGCGTCGGAACAACCCGGAAGAAATACTTGCAAAACTCTGAAAACCGCTAGGGAGGGGAGAGGAAAACTATCACTAGGTTTTGGTCTTTGTTCAGTTCCGCTGATCCTCCAAAGGAAGTTCTCCGAGAAAAAGAGGGCACCCGGTAAAAGAACAGTGGGCAGGGTGTTTTTTGGGGCTGCGGGGATGCATCACAAAGCATCCTGCAGAAAAACAACAGCACGTGCAAAAAGCATATATGCAACAGAATCAAAGGGCAACCTCGGCAGCAAATGAGGGAAGTCTCCAACATTGGTAGACTGATCAGCAAAGATCAGAAGTAGCAGGAAGTCAAGTGAACAAGTCGCCTAGGGCCTAGGGATTGTCATAACGGAATCACCTGGGCGTAGTGCCATGAGCACGAGCATACCTTTCAGCTGCGCGAAAAGGATCTGCATACCCAGCAAGTCCAAACTAAAGAACTTGATAGAATTTGTAGGAAGCCTCCGAGCCGGTCGAAGATCATTGTGTTGTTCCAATTGTCTAAGGCCGTTACTAACTATCATCATCCACTCTTATTCTCCATGTCACAAGCCTGTGGGGGCAAAGGTTGTTTGACTGGCCAGAGAGGTAAGGTGAGGCTCACAATCCTTTGAGATGATCGCGGTCGCGGCCTCTAGAACAACATAACTTGGTTGTAATTTGTTTGGAAAGTTTTAGCTTTCTTTTTCAGGGAGGATGTCTCGCCGTTTTGAGTGGTTCCTTGTCCTCAATCAAAAAGTTGCCAGCTCTTCTGAGGAGGTCAAGGATGAGGTAGAGAGCCGTTTCGAGGATACGGCTGCGTTAAAAAAGCTTTCTTTGTATTTACTGTTTATTGACCTTGTCAAGGCTCCGTTGCTCGGTTAGGGTTGTGGGGTGTACTCAAAGCAAAAGGTGTGCCAGCGAAGCTCCTTGGCCTTACCAAATCCTATTACTCGAACAAGTTTGCTTGTGTTTCCGTCGAAGGGTTGCTTTCCGAGTCGTTTGAACTGTGCACTGGGCTTGGCCAAGGGTGTTGTCTCGCCCCTTTGCTCTTTAACATTTACTTTGGTGCTGTAATGGAATCCTGGTCTGCCTCTGCCCCTGATCGCTTGTCTTGGTTTCCCGTATCGATGGCATCCTTCGGCGACCATGTGATTTGGATAAGTACATGCTACACACCGCTTGGACTTTTCAGGAATTGGGCTTTGTGGATGATTTGGCCTTAATAGCTGATACCCTTACCAAGTTACAAACTGCTTACCGTAACATTTCCCGTCACTTATCTGCGTGGGGTCTCACCGTTTCTACTGCTAAGACCGAGGCGCTTGTCACGCTTACTCAACGTTCTGGGCCGTTGTGTAGTGCTACGGCAGACTCTCAACCTGTGCTTTTCACGTCCAAACTCAAATACCTTGGCTCGCATATGGATTCCTTTTTGACCTGTGAACCAGACATTCTCTACCGCCTCGATCAGGCTAGAAAAGGGCTTTTGGAAACTTGCGACTTCTGATTGGCATGTCCCTCAGCTTGCTTTGGCTACCAAGATTCGGGTCTATCGGGCGTGTGTGCTCTCTGTTTTGCTTTATGGTAGCGAAACCTGGACGGTCAATTTCCCCATGCGTCGCAAACTTCAGGTGTTTCACACTACTTGTCTCCGAGTGCTTAGTGGTGTTACGCGGTGGATGCAACAACTCTATCATATACCTAATGACCGCTGGTCAGGTCCAAAATCGCGTGACCTGGTGTTCCCCCTATCGCGGACCTCATTCACTAAAATCGCATGCGCTGGTTAGGTCATGTGGCCCGCATGTCCAATGCATGACCGCCTGCCCAAACAAGCTTTATTTGCTTACCTGCCAGCTGATCTTGGTACTGCTCGTGTGCCTGGGAAACAAGGTGGGAAACGCTTGCGCAATGCTTTAGTTCATGGCCTCCAAAAAATGGGTGTTCCCCTCGCCGGCTGGTTGCCTTTTGCCCAATTGAACGATGGTCGGGATTGGAAGCTTAAGACGCGTGCGCTTGCGGTGTGGTACACCCCTGTAGCCCCGCGTGGTGAAGGGAACTTGCCTGACCGGGACACCGAACGCGCTGCTATTCTTGCTTCTCCACTGCAGCGGATTTCAAGGGGTCGACAGGCTGACCTAGCAACTGCCCAAAAAGCTCTTGAATCGGTAAGAGCCTTCCAACTCTTCCCCAGTCAACCAACGTTTGGACAGCTGTTGGTCACCAGGCGGAACAACTGTGTGGACCCCAATGGGCCTCTCTTGATCCGGATAGTGTTCTTGAAAAACATTGTGCACAGGATTCCTGGAACTTGGCTTCATTTAAAATGGTTTTGTGCACTGCCCAGGACCTTGCTCTTCATACTGCTCGTCTTGCTGACTCGCCACCTGTGCTGTCTCCGTGTCCTCTCAGGCCTCCCAGACGCCGCCTGCAGTCAAAACAAATGCGCCAGCCAGCCTTTTTTACCGCAGAGGTTGCTGGAAACGGTAGGGAACGTGATGTTTACTGGCATATAGGCTGCCCCCTTCGGACCCAGGTTCCGGCCACTTTCAATGTTCTATTTCTGGATGTGGTCGACGTTTCACCACTAAACGGGGTTTGGCTAACCACCTTCGAGAAACTCACAAGAAAGGCACATATAGGGACCGCACTTGGGATTGTCCCCATTGCCCCCGTACCTTTGATCTGGAAAGTGGGTTGACGAAACACCTACCACTCCATGCCCCCGGAGCTGTAGCTTATGTCTGTTGTGTGTGTTCGGCTTGCTTCCCTGGTAAGGATAGTGCCCGTATGCACATTAATCATAACCACTCTGCTTACTCCCTCACGTACCCGCTCCACTGCCCGCATTGTCCAGCCAATCAACCTTTTGTCGCCAACTCTCTGCCCACCAATTTTCGCTGCATCGGCTCAGAAGACATGTGTATTCGTGATTTTTCCGTGACGGTCAGCTTTCGTGCTCGTGTTTGCTTGTCTCTATGCCCAATGCCAAGCAAGAGGACTTGAACCGACTCGACAAGGCCCTGTCGAAGGTCGAAAAGGTTGCTGATGGTGCTGCTAGGCCGGCTTCAACAACCGACTTTGAGTTGATGTTTCCCCAAATTCTCGCCGTGGACCCTGGCAGAGCGCGCGCGGTGGTCCCTTGGGGGTTCCTACCGTGCAGGTCGGCGCGCCCAATACTGCGCAGCAAGGGGTGAGGGAGGAGTCGAAAGCAGGGAGGAGTCGAACCCGGGCCAAATCCTCGGCAACGCCTTTCCCGCAAAAAAATCTTGACAGTTCCACAAATAGAAGAATTTACATAGACAAATGTCATTGAAGCGGAAGTTTTTGGGCAAGTGTTTGTCAATGTGACGGCAGCGTGACATTGCCCACCGCTCACCGGAATCCTTCAACAGGAACACGCCGGCCCCGCTCCTCTCACGCTCACGTTCCTCGGCCTAGACCGGGTCGGCGGATTACCTGTAAGCAAATATGCAAAATTTCACTATATTAGAGAAAGGCTTGAAACCCAACCATCATCCACTGGTAGTGGGAGATATACCGTATACCCTACTGTAGGATGTACACCGTCACTCTTTTCTGAACTGACAAGTAAGATGAATGAATTTATGAAACATGATGTACACGCTGTAAATGATACAATATATATATTTAGTGTTGGGATACAAATCGGTCATTCTTTTGAATATTGAACCCGGCCATGTATTTTCGACCGGAGCCTGAGCGCCGAGGCCTGAGCTTCCATGTCGGCCAGGGGCTCCCAGGGGTTTACGGGTCGGGTTCGTCATACTCGGTCGAGCCGTTCCCACTAAGGACTTTTTCGCCTTCATGTTAATTTGATCTGAAGAATTGGCTTGTGGAGAGGCACAACCATTTTGGACGGGGGCATTTATTTATGATCAACTGCCTACATTAGGTTGATGCTTGACCAAAAAAGGCTGACAGAGTGATCTTTGAGGGGGTTGTCTTCAGCACTCAAGCCCCCCCCTTCACCATGAACATTGGTTCATGAAGATTCGAGCCTTGCTGATGGACAATCATGGCAATGCCATAGATCCGGGTAGGCTTTGATGATGTGGTTGCTATGTGGGTTGTTGGGCAAAATTGGGCAGAACCGTTTGTAAACGAACGCGTTTTGAGTCGCAAGTATGCGTGTGGGAGCACGATCTGGTCACTAACCGCTGTCATTTAGTTGGTAGCAGGGTGTTCCTATGTGTTCCTAGCCAAGGGCAAGCAAGTATCAACAACCGCAGGTGGTTGCAAGTCCTTTTCTGTCCTGCCCAAGCCAGTCTCCCAACTTTGCAGTCTTTGATGGTTAGCGTTTCGCTCTTCTTACCCCTGTGGATCTCCGAGGTTTTCACAGCAACTCTCAGATCATCAGCCATTTGCTGCACCTCATTGTCCAAATGGCCAGGGCCTAAAGAACGCCAGGTTGCTTGAGGTTTGGTAAACACGGGAGGCTTGGAGGACGATTGATTGTTGGGTCACGGTCTGCTCGAAATTGAGGTCTTTGCGGTGAACCTGTTTGGGCTCCAAAAGAACACCTTTGCCTATTACCCCCTTGGTTGAACCAAAAAAATCAGGCACGCGGCGGGCTCAGTAGGAGTGATTTGGGTGACACTGACTACTTTAATAGTTTCTCTACAGTGTTGCAATGTTGTCCGCATGTCAGTAGTTATCAAGGGTAGTATGGGAGCATAAAATGCAATCAGTCCCATTTGAGAACTTTGGACCGGCCGTTGATGGGTGGATTGACTTCGTTCATTGGATAGGTTTTCGGCTAGTTTTCGGCTCTCTCCCCTAAACCGGATCTACCTCCAGGGCCTTTTTCAACGACGCTCTCAGGATGCGTCGCCCTGACTCTTTTCAAGCTCGCTGGTTACAATATTGCTGCCTGTTACAAGAACGGGGAAACGTGTCGCAAATGAAGAATTACAGGCCATTTGCTCTACTCTATTATACTCTCTTTAGTCTAATCAGAGCACATTTTACTGTCGCCTATGATCATTGGATACAAGGTTCACGACTTGGTTTTTGACTCAAGAAATCGATTGCGCTGACTTTTAGACATATTCGAAAGACAACCTTCAAACCTGTCAGTTGTTCTCTTAGACTGGGAAAAAGCTTTCGACAAAAACAACCGGGACAAGTTGCTACAAATACTTCACCGTATTAAGACACCACCCAGAATCATCCGCCTAATTGCTGCTATACACCATGACCCACAATTCCGGATTTCGACCAACAATTCTTTTTCATTCTTTTTTCTAATTGTATACCGGACGCAAAATTGTGGCGTTCCGCTTTCACCTTACCTATGTAACCCTATGTATTTAGATGTTTGCCTTGTTCTAAGACATCAAGGCAACCCTCAATACTGCAAAAAAAATCTTGAAGGTAGTGTAATGAAAAGTCAGAATTAATCAATCCCCCCTAGTTAACCCGAGCCCACAAAGCCGCCGGAAATTGCCCAAATTAAAAGTATTATTGGCTGTTGATTTCCCCCCTATGGTCTAGTTTTCTACCAACAATCCTCCCCTGTTAATCCGAGCCCACAGCCAGGTCAATTTTTCGTACTACTACAACTACTACTCCTACTGCTGCTGCTGCTACTGCTACTGCTACTGCTATTCCTACTACTACTACTACTACTACTGCTGCTGCTGCTGCTGCTACTGCTACTAGCTACTGCTACTGCTGCTGCTGCTGCTACTGCTACTGCTACTAGCTATTGCTGCTGCTGCTGCTGCTCCTGCTGCTTCTGCTGCTCCTGCTACTGCTACTGCTACTGCTACGTGCTACTGCCACGACCACCACCACCACCATCACCACCTACTACCTACTACATGTTTGATGAAATCCTTAAAAATGTCTAGGGCTCAGGGCCTATAAATTGCCTTATTAAAAAAATAAAAAAGAATCATTTGACAAGCTCACAAAGGGTACCCCTCACAAGGGCCGGTCCCCCATCAATAACCTGCACTACTACCCCCTATTAATTTGATCCTGTGTCCCTGGCCTTTTCTTTGTGCTTGTTTAAACTTGTTGTGGCTACTACTACCTACTACCTACCTACTACCTACTACTACCTACTACCTACTACTACCTACTACTACCTACTACTACCTACTACTACCTACTACCTCCTACTACCTACTACCTACTACTACCTACTACCTACTACCTACTACCTACTACCTACTACCTACTACCTACTACCTACTACCTACTACCTACTACCGACGACGACTGCGACTACGATGGCTCCCTGAGCCGATAATTCAGGGGGGGGTGGACCTCATGAGTGTTGACCTTTGTTGACCTACCATGTGGGGGGGGGGGGGGGGGGGGTTTATTAATCCGGTCTTGGCATTTTTCGGGACACGCAAGCACACACTTAGAGAGAGGGCTCGCAAGAGCATAGCATCAGCTACTGGATCACCGAATGCATTGGCATTTTACCCCGTTATATAGCCCTTTAATGCGCAACACAGAATGGTAATGGCTTGGGCAATACTCCCAATCACAAATCTGAGTGGATCTCAGTGTGCGTTAGCCCTTGTGTTAGTTACAGCACCACCCGATTAGTGCAAGTCAACCTTGCACCTGGAAACAGACCTGAGAGATGGCCAAGATGTCAAAACTATTTTTGCGTCACAGAGTCAGAGATTGTCACTAAAAATTGCAGGTGCGCAGGGATGATCAGTCCCTGTTTCCCTTTGTTTATCCACAGCTTCATTGCGTGTGGTAGGGCGGGAGTGCCACACGCCCTGCTATGTTTAATTAATGGCTAAAGAAAGAAGAAGGAGGAAGGTCGGAAAAGTGATGCGTTCCCTTAGAAACCGGGAGTGGCGCACACACACAAGCACACTCAATGAACCAGTTTGAATTCATGCAATTCAACGTGAATCAACTTATTACACCATGCAACTTGATACCGGCAAATGTAATCATTTGTAGTAACCTCACCCTACATCAGCAGCAAAACTGCATATTTTGGCACAATTTTAGATGACAAGTTGAAAGTCATCGCGAAAATATATAACAACCGCATCGCAGCTGCTTGAACGCAGAATGCTGCAACGCATGCTGTTGTCATGATGCACAACGCGATGACCAAAGTGCAACCATGAAGACCTTATGTTTATTATGCTGTCCATTTTCTTTGACGCTCTACTTCCCTGTCTCTTTCTCCGTTTTCATCTTCAAGAAGGCGCGTGCCGGAAGGTGTTTCACCTTTTATGCGATAGGCCGAGGTTTTACCCGAACACTACCCGCACATGTTCCACCTTCTGTTTTCATTCCTAACGATTCTGTGCAGAGACTTTGTGTTTGCGCGTTGGCAAAATGGATGGGAATGACCTCAGGTCCGAGCAACCATTCTAGGGCAGGCAGTATTCCCCCACCTTTCGCGGGCCGAGGCCTTGTTCCCAAGGCCTGAGAAGGCGGTTTCGTGCGGGTTTCACCACCGGACCGAGGGGGCGCCGCCACACCGCACGCAAGGGGCACGGATGGTTTCAGTAGAGGTTCCAAGATGCGGAAGGACACCCAGAAGGCAGCGCAGAAGGCTGCCATGGAACCCCGCAGGCACGTTCACAAGCAACGACTTGAGCGAACCCAGGGTCTCTCAGCCAACTGTCCTCGTGTTGTTCCCCAAGCGTTCCACTGGATGCGGGAGAGCCTTTCGGCATGTCGAAAGCAATACGGAGACCCTTTTTGAAACCTTTCTAAGGAAGTAGATGAGCGGGGTCCAAACACTGTGCCGTTGTCGCGCTTGTGCTTGACTAAGCCGTTCACGACTGCACATATCCACAGCTTATCCACAGCTTCTCACACCCAGATTCACTGTATAGATGTGTAGAGTGGACGGTGCTTTCCATCATGTAGTTTCATGTTCAACCTTAACCTGGGATGAACATTTTCAATGACTTCATTTATTTTTAAGTATGTTCACGCTACCCCGTTGTTGTCGGTGTTCAAGTATTTTCGCCTCGCTGCCCGCATCTCCAGATGAGCGTTGGGGGTCATGGAGGAACCATGAGGAACCCGGTCTCCCAGCCTTCCTTACTGTAGGTGCTCGAGCTGACTCGAGGATGAGTGTCACAGGGTTTCTGACAGACCGCTGGACAGGGTTTCTGACGTAGCACTGGACAGGGTTTCTGACATAGCATTGGACCGGGTTTCTGACAGACCGCTGGACAGATCTTCTGGTTTCATGTAGCCAGGATAAAATACGAGCGGCCGAGCGCCAGGCCGATGCCAAGCTGCAGATCGGCTCCAGTGACGTGGCCGAAGTACTGTCTGCGTGTTGCGTTCGTTTTCTGCGAGAATGAAGGGCACCTTGCTCGCCCTCTGGAGGGTTTCAGAAGGGCTTTACCTTCTTTAAGCTGCACCATGAGATCCGAAAGATGTTTCAAACAAAGTTCAAAAGCAATGGATGTATTATTAATTGATTAATTATAAACACCATGGAGTATTAAAGCAATGGGAGTTTAAACCTTAAACTTTAGTTATTATGTCATACAATTTCATACAGATCAATGGATCATAATGGATGTACTCTTGAACACGTCATCGGACCTGACTCCCATCGGATCAGGCCCTTTTGCGGCTCCTTTGCTCAGGATCTGCCTTCACCACTGACCATGGGGCCCAGGTGGGATCAGACGGGCAGCCTCGCAGCAAGGGTGTGCCTTGGCGCGGTGCCAGATTGGATGATGGGCGATTGGGGTGTTGAAATTGGGCTTGGGGGCTATCTCATCTCACCATCTGGGCTTGGATTCTGGACTCTTCTTTGGCCTCCAAGCAGGCAAAACGTGATCAAACATGTCTGGAAGGGGTTGCCGGGGCGGTCCGCTTGGAAGGTCTTCGTACGGGATCGTACGGGAGGGTTCAGTTGCAAGACAGTCTAAAAATTGCCATACATGGAAACTATTTGCAGCAAGGACGCTACTGGTAGCTCCTGGCATTACTACTAGTAACAAGGACGCTATGCACGTAACAAAGGGCAGCCGAAAACGTACGGAGCAATGGCAAGGACGCTATGAGTAGCTGAGCATCCTCGCCTGCTATTTCGGTCCTTCATTCTTTCATCGCTCATTACGTGACGTCCGTGACCCCCCCGCCGCGTCCGTGCGCCGCGCCGCGTCGGTTTTTCACGTACGCGAAAAGGGGGGCTCCTGAGAGTCCGCACGGGTCATCGCTTTGGGATGCTTTGGGATGCCATCCATGTCTTCGGCAGCACGGCCGAATTACAGACATTCTCAGGCTTTACAGGACCCAACCGGATCGTTTGATTCCGGTTGGGTTCTGTAAAGCCTGAGAATGTCTGTAAAGCCTGGGGGTGTTTTTTCGTCGACTTCTCGCCTTGGGGTGCCAAACCTCACGACGTAGACTCTTGATTGTAGTTCAACCCCCAGACTGTAGATCTTCAGGCTTGGAGGGTTCAAATGGGCTCCAAAGCTGAAGGCACGTTCGTGATCCGTGGATGTGCCCAGCCACATACGGAGAAGAGATGCATCCTCATAACCACCACAGCAAAGTGAAAGACATAGTGACACTACCACAGTTAATGGCGGTAATTCATCTCAGGTTCCAAAGCGGGCGGAGTTTTTCATCATTGAATGCAGGGAGACACCCCTTTGGGTATGGCTGATACAGGACATATCGTGCCCAACACGGTCGGCCAAAAACGGCCAAAAGGCTGGCAAGTTTTTGTTGGTTTAGTGCCATTAGCCCACGTGCACTCAAGCTTAAGCTTGGCAAGTATGGGAATGGACACCCGTTGCATCATAGAGAATACCAGAGATCTTTTTCCTTTTGGAAGAGGGAGGCATCTTTTGCAGGCAGTTCAGGACACTAGGGCAACTCCTGCATACCCATCCTATGATTTCACTGGATTCCACGTTTTGGTCGATTGGGGTGCTCTACGGTGGTGAGCTCATGGCTTGAGCCGGATTCCGAGGTGCAGCATCCCAGCCGTACGTATCAGGCGCCCGGCCGCCAGTGACCTGCCACCGGGCCACCGGGGTTTTGGGGACCTTGGAAGGGTGGATGAGTTCACGGCCTGGCTGGGACGTCCTGGGCTCCTGTAACGACGACGTCCTGGGCTCCTGGGAACATGGCTTTCCTCTACGGTGATTTTCCAGTGTCATGTGAGTTCCAGGGAGAGGGAGCCCTAAAACCCGATAGGGCAATCATGCAGTCTTTTGTCGCGTCAGAAACGTCGTTGACCAGAATGGTACATATTGTTGCGGAGCGGGTGAGTTTTGCTGGGTTCCGGTCTGTTTGAGGCCTTGAAGTTGACAGGCTGGCCCATGGCCCCGCAAGAAAACACATGAACACCCATTTGTGGGACATTCGAGGGAGATGCTGTTTGGTGCGAGCTCGGTGTTGTAAATGAGTGTAAATGGCTACAATGTCAATCCAGAGCCAAGCCGCAAAAAATAGAACAAATCTAATTATGACAAGTGGAGGGTTTCCTACTGTATCAACTCTTCTCTCTAATTTTCAAGTCTTTGAGATGTCCACGAGGTCTTTATTTTGGGGCTCCAAGCCAAGCCTTGGAGAGCTTTGCTTCGACGATTGCGAAGCATTACACGGAGCATGGCTGAATGACCGACCTCGAAGAGCCAAGGCCCCAAGTAGAACCTGACTGCTTTAGGGCATCACCAGTACCCTCCATCAATGCGAGGGTCTTTCTTTTTTCTGGCGCTGGTAGAGGAAGATAGTCTTCCAATTTCAATCTCCTCTGATACAGGCGAGCGTTTTGGGGGGGGCGGGGGGCCTTAATTAATTAATCCATCAATTGATTAGACCTGCGATGTGCTCAAAGGGATGGTGTTTAGACCCCCAGTGGATGACAATAACCAAGCCCGTTCGGCACCTGAACTTGAGCTGGAACTTGCTGGTCTTTTCCTTCGCAGGTGCCCGGCTGGCGCCCCATCGTGGATGGATCGGCCACCAAGCCAAAGGCGGATCCATGTATGGCATGCTGAACATATATTTTAACATTATTTGTTTGCCTACCCAAGTCTTTTTTTTGCGAATACCGAATTCGGATTATCATCCTTGTATTCCATACTTGGAGCATTTGGGATAGACATGCTTTCATTGGATGTGGTTTATTCCAGAACACGCCGCCCGAAAAAAAGACACAAAACCACTCCTGCGGAGCCACCTCTACGCGAACCCCCCGTGCGCGCGTACGGGGAGCCACGACGGTCCGACCAGCGTGGGGCGACCGGTGGGGTGACTGGAAGTCGGGGGGACAGGGTCCCAAAGAGTGCCTCAATGCGCTTGTTACTAGTAGCGCTGCACTTGTTACTAGAGCACAAAGGCCCGACTCTTCAGGATGGTGTTGGGTCAGTCGGGTCTCACCAGTGTATGATGCACACTGAGAGTTTTTCATCTCGAAGAACTGAAGGCCCCGACATGCAATGCACTTACCCTGAGTCCAGATGACATCTGGGACCAGGTGGTGCAGAAGGATCAGAAAGAGTCATTGGAAGTTCAGAGTCCAAGATGCTCAGCAAGCACAATCCACTGGGGCTCTTGGCACGTGGGACCATGTTCTTCAGCATCACAGACCTCATCCTCAAACGAATTTGGCCATCCTCAACACAGCCACCTGCCCAACCTACCGAACAACCTTGCTAGAACCCCATGTGGGAGGCATTTTTGGATCATTTTTCGGTCTTTTCCTTTTCCGCCAGGGCGGCCCCCGTGGATGGAGACGGAGCATTCAGGAGCGGTTCGGTCCAGTGGGATCATGGTCGACCAGTGAAGTTGGGTCGAGTGAAGCTTAATGACCTGGAGTCTAACATAGGGGGTGGGCTGGTGTGATTCATCTACAGTCAACATGCATCTGTTTTAATCTGTTTCATCCAACTACACGGGTTCAACGTCACAGGAAGTGTGGTCAACTAGCTCACGAGTTCACAGATTGCAGGAACCTGGACACTCAGCCACACGCCAGGGTGGCCTTTTCATTTCAAGAAGAGGGAACTTTCAGTGTCCACATGAGCCGCTCATGGTCACCACGGCTGAGGATGCTCAGCAGTCGAAAAGAAGTCCCACCGTCGGGGCGCTCAAGACGAATTCACCTCTTCTGAAAGACATCACTCCATGGCTTTCTTCCCTTTGTTGATGTTTGTTGGTGTTGGATTTGAGATGAAAGAAATCCGTGTGTTGATGTGTGTTGCTTTCTTTATTCTGTTTGATGATGCTGGTCAATGATGGGTGAAATCCATGGACATCCTCATGGAGACTCAGACAATTCTGCTCTTATTTGCGATGTGCTTGGATGTTGCGGGATTTGACCTGCCACCTACATGGCTTCCAGCGATTCCAGCTGCTCAACTTTGGGCGAAGGAGTTTAGCTCGGAAATTAGCCCTCAAATCCAAGTTCTGATTTCGTTGAAATGGCAATTTGGATGGTGGTCACGATTGGTGGGCCTGCTTGCTCCCTTTCACTCGTGATATTGTTTTTGTGAGTTGTTGGATTGAGTGGGGGGAGGCCGTGCCGATGTCAGGCCAGTGCACTCTTGACAATGCTGAGGGTTTGCAGTGAGCACTGTTCAGGTCAAGTCTGAACAGGTTGGGTCGCACATGTGTGGCCCTGTCTCAGCTAGCATGTGCACATGCGAATCGCTGCGAATATTTGCGAATGACATGAATGATGTGGTTTGTGAATCTCCATGTAACCCCCCCTTCCAGGAAGCCAGCCAGCACCAGATGGTCAGATGATGTCAGATGGTTCCGTTTATTTGGGACTTTCCCAATCAATCGCCTGGAAGATTGGCAGGTTTTTCCAAGCTCCAGTTCCATCAATTTATATAGCCTTAGCATGCCTGGCTGCCTGTTTCAGATGACCGAGTGGAAGTAGCTGAGACATGGGTGACCTGCAGGGGGTGATGATGGATAATTCCCTGTTGTCTACTGGGCGGCCTCAGCAACTTAACTTAGGTTTTCATGGGTGTTGATTGGCCATGTGATGATTGGATGCTCTAAATCCAGTACCTCCCGTTGTGACTCCCGATGTGTTGCTTTACATCAAACGAAGAACATCACACCTCCCCCTCCCCCCAAAAAGTTCACTCGTTCTGCTTCGACTCTTGGAGGGGACCATTTTTCACTCTTCGCAACAACAAGAGCAACAACAACGTCCCCATGTCGGAGCAATCAGATTTCCTGGTGGATTTGGGGGTGCCCAGCCTGCTGCGGTCGCCCAGACCCCTGCGCGAGGTCCGCATCGGTGGCGGCTGGCACGTGCTCCGGGAGGAGCCCGAGAATCAGCTGGCGGAGCGGCTCGGTGGGAAAGGGAAGCGAAAATCCGTCGGGATGAGCTTGTGTGGAGGAAGTCGAAGCGAGAGTCATAAGAAGTCCAATGACAGGTGCAGAAGCCGCTGTTGTTTCATTTTGTTTCTCCGTGGTGGACGGTTTTGGAGGTGTGGTCCTTTCTTTGTTGTCTTCTTCTCCATCATGGTTTGACATGGTTGAAGGGCACGCAACGTGTACCCCAACAATGGTAGTCATGGTTATAGATTGCTTGCTGCTTGCTTTATGTTTGTTGAAACATGTTGAAACTGTGAGTCCATGGTGCAGATGGCGTTATCTCCTTTTTCGATGGGAAGAGACGAAGAGATCTTCCTTGAATATCCTTGAACACATCATGTCCCAAATCTAGTAGCTTCTTAGTTCCTATAGTTGTAATGCCCTTGTAGCTTCATAGCTTCATGTAGCTTCTTAGTTCCTAGTGGTGCCCTTGTTGCACCATTTGGAACCCTCAATTCCAGCTGCCCTTCCGCTCCCCCGAGCGCACTGCAGGCGCACGCCCAGCCCGAGCTGCTCCCCCGCAAGAAGCCGAAGCGGGGTGTCCCGGTGGTGCTCCGATCGCGGGAACACCTCGGTGGATCGAAGCCACCATAAGAGGGCACACGCCCAAGACCGTTTTGGGAGGTCCAGATTCCAGATGTCCATGTTTTTTCCTTTTCTCTATCTAATTACTGGGTCATGGATGACACTGTTTGATGGCAGATTGATGTATGTGTTATAAAAAACTTTCATATGGTAAGGCCAGAATCCGTGATTTAAACAACAAGTCAAAAAAAAAGTCAAAAAAGTCAACTGGAAAAGTCAAATATCAAAGTCAAAAAAAAGTCAAATTGAAAAGTCAAAACAAACACAATCAAAAAAAGTCAAAAACAAGTCGAACAAAAGTCAAAAAAAGTCGTCAAAAAGAAGCCAAAAAAAATCAAAGAAAGTCAACAAAATAGTCAAAAAAATCAGTCAACAAAAGTCAAAACTGTGGCTCCGGATTACTGGAGTCAAGAAAAGTCAAAAAAACGTCAAAAAGAAGGCGAAAAAGAGTCAAAAAAATCAACCGTAGACCACAGCTCGAAAAAGTCAAAAAATAAGTCGAACAAATGTCGAAAAAGGTCGGATCTGGGCAAATGGACTTTTTTGACTTTCTGAAATTTGCTGATTTGACTTTTTTTTGACTTTGACTTTTGGAATTGCAATTTTTTTGACGTTTTTTTTTGCTTTTTAAATTCAGAAAACAGGCTCTTTCCAATGAACGTTTTTTATAATGTATGTGAGCAAGATGTGGTATGTTGGCGTGACCCATGCCTATAGAAGGCTGAACGCAACCCCCGTTCAACATCTCAAAACCTCTTCAGACGTGAGTGAGTCAGCTCTACTACAGTGAACATTAGGCACATGCTAATCCACACCACCTTTTGTTCGGATCTGGGCCCACCATATAATTAATTACATCCAAATCCGATCGGCTGACTGACTGCATGAGGCCCCGATCCAGAAAAGCATCCCTTTGCGCACGGAGCGCCTTCCCAGCCGCTGGGCAGAGATGCACAAACACGCAGCGTCGAGTGTGCAACGTGCGGTCGGGCGAGTATAGGAGGTGTCAGCTGAGGGACAGCTTGCCTTTGGGATGGACAATCGATGTGAATCTGATGTGCATTTTTTGGATGCAGATGATGCAGAAACACTCGGGAATTATCAAGAAAATGATCAACGGGTGATGATGCCTATACGTTGGGTCTGTCCTATTACCTGTACAGTCAGCACACAATTATCACTATTTTTGAACAAGGCCTTTATTAACCATCATCATCCACGGTTACTGGTACTGGGATAGGCCCAACCTGTATGTTTTCACATTGTTGGCAGGCTGCGACATACCTGCATATTTGAATATATTTACCTATATATATATATGATGTATCTCGAAGCGGCATTTGGGTATTGGCTAGCTCGATTGACGACCTTGTTTGCTTGTGCACATGGAATCCACAGCAATCACGTGAAGGAAATGGCCCCTTGGCAGCGCGGAATCACCCCTTGGCAGCACGGAACCCTTTCTCCACGAGCTGTTGGGGCACCAGCTGGGGTGGATATGGCCCACACTTCGGGAGTCCAGCTTAGGATACTTGCACTCGACCTGCACACACAGATTCAGATAATATAGCATTTAGAATCATATATTTAATATGTGCATATATGCATACGTATATACATTAGGATAGAAGCATCTAAATGCCTGCTGAACGTTTGACCCATCTATTGATATGACCCATATTAATATGTTTGTAGTTGGCGGTCCAAAATAGGGTCACTCAGGTTCTAGGTGCATACATAAAACGTTAGCCCCAGCAGTAGCAACATGGGCGCACGCCCATCAGTGCGTGCATGACTTGTGGGGTGAGGGACACGCCCATCGAGCGCTATGCCTTTGGCCTGGAGCCTCATTCGGCCTGTGCACCTCGCATGACCTCACAACATGCGTTTTCGGGAGCGACTGGCTTTCTGGGATGATTTGCCTTGTGGCAAAGCCCTACATCACACCACACTCTGGAGCCTCACCGAGACAAGGGCCCATGCATCCACGGGATTGTTCGTCCCATGCATCATCACTTTCTTTGGATACCAAGAACTCTGTTGCAAGCTAAACAGTTAGACACCTGGGCTGCAATGAAGAGAGGAACGGAGAGACTCTTAGTGTCATCCCCTTTTTTGCCTCCTACAGATTGTCCGCTCGACGTCCTTGGTGGATGTGCAGGATGTCATAAGGTTTTAAGTGCTCAGTCGGGCAATATATGGCAATAGCAGTGGCACTATCATCATATCGGATACATATCAGTTGCAATTGATATACAATATCAAATATGATGATATACTACTGCCATCATATACTACTGCCATATACTGCTGCCATCATATCGTAGTCAGATCTTCCACATCTACTGTACACTTTCCTTTCTTGTGTTCTCAGCACCCGTTCGCTGGGGATCCCGAACCTACCCCCTCCGGCACCATGGTGTTCCACCACTAATCCTCACTTCCTGCGCGGTGCAGGGGCCTATGCCACCGGCATGTCCTATGGGAACACCGTGGCGAGCAAGGATCCGGCCAAGCTGGCCAGAGAGGCGAGACTTGCGTCAAAAGGAGAGCGGGGTCGTGGTTGTTCGGATGGTGAAACAGAGCAGGTGGTGTTTTCTTTTTTAAAACTGCAATCATCTGCAATACATATTATATATATATATATATATGTATGCTTATATATTACTGCAAATCTATATATATATATATACATGGAGAGAGAGAGGCTCATGGACGCTTCCGGGTTGGTGCCTGGGGGTTCGAAGAACG